GGAGCAATGGGAAAATTACTTCGTTTTTCAGAATAGTTGGAAATCTGAGACTTACTTTAAGTGCCTTATTAATCACAGGAATTTCCCACTGCCATTTCATCAGGGGATATACTCTCCCAGTACCTAACTGGGCCAACAAGAAAGCTGGAGAGGGATTTTTTACAAGGGCATGTAGTCACAGGACAAGGGGGAATGGTTTTAAACTAAAAGAAGGGCGATTTAGATTAGACATTAAGAAGTTCTTCACCATGAGAGTGTTGAGGTGCTGGCACAGGTTGCCCAGAGAAGCTGTGGCTGTCCCATCCATGGCAGTGTTCATGGTTGGACGGGGCAATCTGGTCTGGTGGAAGGTGTCCCTGCCCTTGGCAGGGGATAGGAACTGGATGGTCTTTAAGGTCCTTTCCAACTCAAACCATTCTAAGTCTATGAATATATGCCCGTGTGTAAAACCTTGGCTTCTGAGACTCTAGTAGCACAGTCTGGGTCAACATGTGGGACAGGAATATAACACTTGAGCCAATTTGCAGTTTCCTAGGGCTCAGCTGTTTGCTTTGTACGAAACAGAAGGGACACACCAGCCATTGGCAATCATCCTGCAGATACTGAACTAAGAGTTCCAAAGCAGCACGTTACACTCCTGTAGGAACATTATATTTATGTGAAAGGGTGTGGAGTTATGTGATAAAACATAGAAAGAAATGATTAATTGGGAAGTTGCAGTGATTGCTGATATTGTTATGTCCCTTTGACTGTCTCAGTTGCCACATTGGGATTTACTTGGCAATTAACCTGCTCCAGAATGGTTTTTCTTCTCCCCTGTTAGGCAGAATTTTCCACTGGGGTTACTGTAGTGTGAAGTTGATGAAGCACAGGTTTCCTTTTGCCCAAATGTTAGCTTTTCCATGCATAAACTCATCACGGCTGGAAGTCAAAATCTGGCTTAGAAACGAGAGGTTTTTTCTCCTGTCAGAAAGGAGTAATTGCAGTTTCTCAGGGGGACACTGTACTTAAATCTGAACCTTGAAAACTTGAAGGCGTCACCTCACTACACATAGAAAAGCCGTTGCAGTTCATTTGGTAAGACCCGTATCACTCACTCGTGGCTTTACAGTGTAAATAACATGCCCACATAGTTAAACCTTTGGTACTATCCAGACGTACATACCTCCTGTCAAAATTCACTCAAGGTTGTTTTAAGACACTTTAAAACATTTTTAAGATTACATTTCCTTTCTGTGCTACCTAGAAGCCTGTTTTTCATGAGTCAAACTGTGCAGGGTTCAGGAGGAGCAATAGCCACAGCTAAAAATGACCCGGTACACCGTTTTCATGCTTAGTAACATCAGTATTTGAAAGTGTTTAATGTCTTCTTTTTTCAAGACTTTCCAATGAATCTGTGTCCCCCTGGGAGCTGGGAATTCCATCCTTTCTGAAGAATAAGGGTCACATTTCTAGCCCTGCTTGCCTGCGGGCTACAGTCTTCTAAGCTGTGAAATGTTAATGTGTATCAAACCTTCCCAGTGACTCAGAACTGAATCTCAGCCATCCATGGCATCACATAGTTTTACAGGGGAAAAACTCTAAACTTCATCAAGTAGGCTAATTATTTCACATTTTAATCTCTGAAATTGCTTGGGGAGTTTAGAATACCAGAAGAAATCTCCGCTGATAAATGAGTAGGCAGAGAATCACTAAAAACTCTACGATAAATGAATTTGTCACATGCTCCAGCAATTTATCATTCATTTCCATAATTAATCACAAAGCTCTGAAAGACATTGTATTCATATCAGCTCTGTTGATACACCCACTGCAAATGGCATATCTGTTTGGTAAAAATAAAGTAGAAATTAAAAGAGAATTTCAAGCAACACAAAGTTTAGAGATCATGAAACATAAAGCAGAAAATCAACCTCTTGATCTTTTTGGCTTTCTTATGGCCTTATATGAGTTCAGGCAGGCTTGGTATATAGTCTGGAAAGCCCTGGCAGTGTGGTCTCTATAGGAATATTGTCCTTTTCTTTATCATTTGCCAGCCCCTCCCCGACACACAGTATAATGGCAATCCAGAGTCAGTGGGGTACAGGATAAAGTTCTGGCGTGTGGATGTGCAGTCTCCCACCCTGATGAAGGTTATTAATGATCGCTTGGAAAGAGAGTGCACGATTGAAGATCTGGAGGAGTGGACAGAGTATGAACTGCAGATCCAGGCTTTCAATGCCATTGGGGCAGGACCATGGAGCGAAGTAGTGAGAGGTCGTACGCGGGAGTCCGGTAAGTCAAAGCACTGTAGCTACTGTGAAGGGCACATCTGAGAACTTCAGTGTTTCCTGCCCTTTTGTTCTTGGTTGGTTTGGGGTGGGGTTTTTTGCTCGTTGATCCATTAAATCTAAAATGAAAGGGGAAAACTCAATCTCTAGTTGCACTGAAGGCAAAAAGACATATAGATATTTGAGTGTTATTTATTTCTTTTATTCCTACCCTGCTTTATTGCAAAAACCTGTAGGTTATGTATTTAAAGCAAACAGAACAACCTCTCCCCATTCCTGCCTTCATTTGGCAGCAGTACAGACAGCCCAACGAGAACCTTGTCTGGCTGAGCAGGTCTCTCACTTCCTCTGCCTCCCCAGTACCCCATTGCCCCTCATTCTCCCCCTTTCCCTGTCTGCTTCCAGGCTCAGGCAGATTTTCTTACAGTTGTGATTATCTGAAATCTAATTTCAAGCACCCAATAGTTCTAAAATGGCACAAGTTCTTTTAGAGAGCTGAAATAAAATCATTATCTAGCTGAAATAAAATAATTATCAGAGCTTTTGATGTCATGCTTTCAAGACTGCCTTCTAAAATTGTGTGTACAAGGCTATATAGACATAACCTGCGCATAGACCTAGAGCACATGTACTGTCTTGTCTCGCTGAATTGTCCATACTAGCACAGAGACTTCAAATATCAGAAGCAAACTCTCAGTCTCAGGGAACAGTAAATTATTGTTAGCTTAGTAGTAGCAGCAGTAAAGACAGATCTTGAAAAGCTGCTCTCAGCCGTTATCTTCCACAAAACCTATTTCCAAACCTACCCTACATACACTTGATAAATTAAAATTTATATTGCAAGGGAATAACAAAGTAGATGACATATATGGTTAAAAAGTTTAATCATAAAAACTTGCAGTGAGCTTTAGTTATGCAAGGTTCAACACTGATACTTGTTCTTATTATTTTTTCCTATTTTTCTTCATGAAATCTGTGTATGAATTTAATCCTGTGCATACCCTACAGTCATAGACACACGTATATGCGTGTCTGTGCACTCTGTACCACGCAGCCTCACTTGGTGGGAACTGTGAACACACTGTACACAGCAGGATTTGGTCTGCTGGCGCAGATAACTACCCTTTGAACTAGCCAAGGAGAAGGCTAAACTAAGTCACCCCCCTCCATTAAAGTGTTGCTTTTGGGGAAGTAGTAATTGAAAAGCTATTGCCAGAGGTATTCTAAACAAGGTACGCTTGTGCTGGAGTTAGAGATAGCGTAACCCAGACAGAATAGTTTTGAAGTGTCCTGTATTGTAATAAAAAGATATCGCATTCTCCACTTTCTCCTTTCCACTGCTCTTCAAACACTTCTTTTGAAATGTAGTAAATACTAAGATTAAGTAATTTCATAAAACCTTAGGATTATAGTGCTCTTGCTCAGCATCTAAAGATCAGAGGTTACATGCATATTTGGCATTTCCTCTAGCAGTATTAAAAGAAGGTTGACTTGAAACTGATAGGAGGAGGCACACAGAAACTGGGATCAAAATAACACAAAGCTGTGATCTAGGCCATAAAGAGTCATTTATTTTTTTTTTCCCTGTGTTTTCGCTGATACTAACATCTGATTTCTTGAATAGAGCAAGCCAGGGGTCAGACTTTTGGCTGTATCTTCTTAGATTTAGAATATAGAAGCAGCACTGGTGTAGCAGCAAGCTGCATGAGAGAAGTTCAGGGAATCTGCAATTAACCTGTATGGAGTCAAATGGGGTTAAAATGCAAATAAAAACTACCTAAAGCCAGAGAGAAAGGTCAAAATAGTTTTAGGTCTGTCTTTTAAACTATAAGAAAAATTGTCTATCACTTATGTTTTCAAAGTGCTTTAAAAGCAGATGTCTTAAGTATTTCTTTCTCCTTTTTGTACATACAAAGGCTTAGGGAAGCTGGTTTCCCTGGTGCGGATTGTAAACATCCCTCACAGCTGGCCAGAGGTGCCTTGGCCAGGATTATGTTGTGATTCATTGGCAGGAAGTCATGGTTCTGTATTTTACACAGTTCAAAGAGCCTAAGAAGTTAGAGCCAAGGCACTAAATCAGCTCATTGCATCTAATGACGGTGCGGCCACTGGAGTCCAAAACCTTTACTGAAAATACAGCTGTACTTGAGCACTTCTGGTTATTCTGGGATGTGTGGTCATATCACTAATAGCTGAGCACACATGCTAGCAGTAAAGGAGCAGCATGCCCTTACAGGTACTCTCTAGTTTCTGAAGTTCTTAAATATAAAATACATTGAAACTAAAGAAACTATGAGAGAATAAACAATGTTGGATGTTTTGATAATCCAGGTTTGAAAAACGGTTGGGAAACCCTAGAATGAAAATCTAGGATAGGGTTGCAAGCAGCTGAAGACAGAGGGAGATGAATTAGGATTTTTAAACGGGACAGGTTTTATCAATCCAAAATGTTTTAAAATGCTAGAAATTAAATAGCTCATTAAATTTTACAGTGTAAAATAACTGCAGAGGAACAAGCTCAGTTTCCACTCGGTAACTGACAGTGTTAGTAGTACAGTATAGAGAAAGCAAGAAAACACTTAAGACCGCTAATGTATTAGAATAACCTTGACAGAGCTGCTTCCTTTTAGAGACAAACCCTCTTACTTTCAAACAATTCATCTCAAATACACCTAACCAGTGCTGTAATATTTTTTGGGCTCCTAATAGTCACCTATATAAATGTGTATACTTGTCTTACAAAAATCAGCTACTATACAAGCATGGTCACATATTCATGCCAAGGATCAATCTCTGGATGTTTCAGAGGCTGACCTTCATGGAGCAGTTACTGTGGTGTGATAAAGCATCGCTTGATAATTCAAATATGCTCCAATGTCACTGTGGGGATTTGTCAGTTTATACAAGCAGAGAATTTGGCCTGCGGTAGCTAATTTTATAGGCAAAATGGTTGTGTACTGCAGCTCTGCTGCTTTTGCCGCGAACCTTGCTCTAAATTTGCACTTCTTAATTGACATCACATGTACAATATGCCACTTTAATTTTTACTGTCGAAAACAGTGATGGATGTTGAGCTAAACTGAGCTGCAAAAGAGGAGAGAACCATTGCACCCCACTAGCTTTCTTAGAAAGCCAGAATACAGGCTGGCTTATTAGAAGCTGCTTTTGGCCCCATTAGAGACATGAAACAACAACATTTGCTATATATCAAATGTCAGACATAGAAAGAGGACACATGATCTTAGATGCAAACAGGAATAACCTTAAAAACTTGAGTTCTTATTGACAATCCAGTGCAAAGCACGAGTAGCTCTGTAATTTCTTATGTTTGATTTTCTGAAGTACCTTGTGAAGCTGGCAGTTTGCTGGATTAGCTCGTCATTCAGTTTCAGTATTTCTGGTTCATTTTGTTCAAGCTGTAAGATTTTTTTGGACACTGTTGCTTGGCTTCTGAGCTGTTCTTGCAGGTTACTAATGAGAACTCGGGTTTGGAGCTTCCAACAAAGTCTTTAGTGCAACAGTTGAGGAAACCAGCATTACAGAAGGGAGCTTCCAGGGGAAAGAGGGATCTACAGGCTTCACTTAAGCCATAATTAGTCTTAGCAATACCTTATTTCTTTGTATCATGATATCCTGAGAGAGGAGGGAGGTCAGAGAAATTAATATTGTGATTCAGTCCATTCTTAAAAGGTCAATAAAAGTCTGTTACTTGCTAAAAGCCTGGCAACAAGAAGATCCATAATATTACTTGCAGGTCCTGAATTCATACAGCCATATTAGAATAAAATCCTCGATGCTAATTGAAGAACTGGAGAATTAAAGCATGCCTAATGAACACAAGTATTTTTGCCATTTAGGCATTGGGCTTAGATTCCTTTCTAGAGAGAGGGGACCGTTAGCTGCTCTGGCTGGCACTGGGAATTAAGAGGAACATTGGCTAATAGATCTTCAGATAGACCATTCTCTCCTTTGTTAGCTACCCCTGCCAGCAGCATGGCTGTACACACACCTCAGAGCAAACATGCACTCAGAGCACAGCCTCCACCTTCTGTGCATTGGGGAAATCTCAGGGCTGCTGATCAGAGGAAAACAAATATTGGTAAAATAAACTTTTCTCTCTTCAAAGGCCTCAAACCAGATAAAATAAATATAAATGTGGCTGGAAAAGGGCTTCTTTCCTCAACACATCCTGGTTTCCTGCAACCGACCTCCACCCTTTCTCTCTCCAGTGATTCATGTGGGAGTAGCTCTTTGTGAAGATCTACAGATAAAGTTATGGCAGCTCTGCAAAGACATTCATGGCTCCTGGCAATCTATTTTCCTTTAACATAATTATATCCTGGGGGGGGATAAATCTAGGGTAAGATTTTTTTGAAATAAGAAAGGACACTTTAGCATTGGAGAGGGGAAAAGACTGGATTTTAGTCTGCTGCAGTTGTGTGCTGGTGCCCTGATTCTCATGTCCCATATAATTGGTAGCAGGAAAATTGTTTCAGAAATTACCACCTCTGTGGTTAACCTTGAGTGCACAAGGGTTGGGGGTGGTACAGTCTGTTTTTCAATTGATATTAATTCTGGTGTCACACTTCTCTCATTCACGTTGCTAGGAGCTTCAGGAGCTCGTCTTCACAACAGCAGATCTCTTCTTTTATTCGGACAGCCAGGAAAGCATTACTTTTGGCAGTGATTCATGCTCCTTTTTGTGATATATTCAGGACCTAATCAAGCCTTACTGTCCATAAGTGCTCATGTAACATAAGTTGGTGAATGTTCTCTTGAGGTCTGACAGGTGTATCATGCTTTAGAAAAGATTGTACCTTTCAGATGCTGGAAATGCAACAGGGGGAAAAAAAAGATGCCAAAAGGGCAGCATAAAATCTGAACTCTTAAAAATAGCCCCAGATTGTGCTTGTGTAACATGGCATGCTGTTAAGCTTGCCTACAAAAGCTTGCAGTTGTGTGGTGGTTCTGCAGCAGTTAGAGTTTTAATGGCATGAGAAAATGCAAGTTTGCTCTTGGGAGTCAGAGAAAATTACAGTGTTCCTGTGCCATCAGTTCTAATGATGTTTCTCATTTTGTAAGAGCCAATTTTGCAACATAAATGAAATAGGCATATCTTTCATTTACACTGTATCAGTCCCCGAAAATACACCTTGTGTTAATGTATCTGCCTGTAATTGATATATTGCAAGGGTTGAGCACTATCGCATAATCAAAAGGCTTCGAGGTTAAAGAAGTCACTGAATGGGGAGTGCAGTGCAGAGGTTGAAATGATTGCTAACTCTAGACAAGATGCTATAATTTCCTTTCAGATAATATAGGAAGCCAGGGTGGCGTAAAACTTCTTGTTAGAACAGATAGTACTGTAAGATAAACTCCCATTCATAAAGATTTGTCACTTTTGGCATAAGGAAATAAAATGTATGGGAAAGAGATAGTAGGAGATAGACTTCTGGAGAAGTCCAGCTATTTAAACTTGATTCTAATTACTGCAAATATAGAGAATGTGAAATTTATTCATATCTGTCCATCTGTACTGTCTATCTGTAGACAGTGATTAGGATTAAATGTTTAGCTCTTTACAAACATTGTGGTTTCTGAGATGAACTGGCAAGAAAATGTGAAGCAGGCTGAAATATAACGAAGATGTAAATTGAATACAAGAGAAGGGATGATCTAGAAGCTATTCCAGTCCTTTTTCTATCTGAATACTCTTCTATGGGATCCTGGCACAATCCCGAGCAAAATGACCTGGTATCTCTTACCTATTTCTGCTTTTTGGTGATGCTGTGTGATTCCAGTTCCCTCTGCTCCTCCTGAGAACATCTCTGCTGAAGCTGTGAGTTCAACCCAGATCCTTCTGACATGGACTGCAGTCCCTGAGCCTGAGCAGAACGGTCTCATCCTGGGTTACAAGGTATGCAGTGGGAGTTTCATGCCTATTTAATTTTTAATGCATTACTTAGGTATGTTTTTTGTTTGTTATTCGTTATTCACCTGCTAGCTATTTATATTATTCATAAGTCAGCTGGAGAAGATGTAGGAAGTATGCTATTTGAGGGGTGTGATTGGTGATTATAATCTTGTATGTTGTGAAAAAGGAGGGTCGGGATGCTGGAGAGGGACTTTTCATCAGGGACTGTAGTGAAAGGGCAAGGGGTGATGGGTTCAAACTAAACCTGGGAAAGTTCAGGTAGATATAAAGAAGCAAGAAGTTCTTTACTGTGAGGGTGGTGAGGCACTGGCACAGGTTGCCCAAAGAAGTCGTAAATGCTCCATCCCTGGCAGTGTTCAAGGCCAGGTTGGAAAGAGCCTTGGGTGACATGGTCTAGTGTGTGGTCTCCCTGCCCGTGGCAAGGGGGATTGGAACTAGATGGACTTAAGGTCCTATCCAACCCAAACCATTCCATGATTCTGTGAATCTATACTGTGTACCCCTCTTTTCAGTCCTCATGTAACAACCTTTTTCTTTCTATATTTTATACAAATTTATTCTGCAGATACTTTTCAAAGCAAAAGATTTAGATTCTGAGCCAAAGAGCCAAGTAGTAAGAGGTAACCACACTCAGTCTTTCCTGCTGTCTGGCTTGCGGAAGTACGTGCTCTATGAGATCCAGGTACTGGCATTCACTCGTATTGGAGATGGAGTCCCCAGCTCTCCTGCAGTTATAGAAAGAACAAAGGATGATGGTAAGTTTAAACTAAGGCTGTTTGGAGATATATATATAATCTTTTTTCCAACTTTGAACATAAAGGACTTGGTCCCTACCTACTATAACGCAGCACTATTCCATTGGTCACGGTCTGATGATTTAGCAAAACCACAGAAACCCAAAGTCCCCCAAT